TGTCAAAAATTAGGTGTCCATAAACTCGTGGGTTTATATGTGGGTTTTCTATTCGAATCCACTGGTCTGTATGTCTATTCTTATTCCAGTACCATACAGTTTTGATTATTATGGCTTTGTAACAGTAATTTTTTAAATTATTTTATTTTATATATATTTAAACCAATGTATGCTTTATCCTCTTTGGTGTATCCCCTGTGAAATTCCCACCATCAATTCACCCAGACACCATCACCATAGTCCCTTCTGTTCTTCACACCCCTATTTTGAGCCTACCCCTCGTTCATAGCTTCCTGTTGATGTTGCTTTTTTACTTTATTATAATTGGATGGTAATTATTTTCATTACTTGATACCCAATGTTCAAATATTGAACAATAAATACAATGGTCCTTTATGGTCCATAGATGTTGGCTAAGGATATCTTAGATTTTTCTCAGTAGGAAGTAAGCATTTGCAATACATAACATTCTCCAAAAGTTAAATGAACTCAAAAACATTGCCTTGATGTCCCCAGGTGTGTTCAAGCAGGAACAATGTATTTTTATTCTTTCTACAGACTTTTCCTTACATAATAGATCTATTGAATGAATAAATAAAATGCTAGTCTCATTTTTATGTTTTATGAATTTTAATTTTAGTTACTGATCTGATATTGAATATCTTCCCCATATTTCTCATTTCCAGTTACACTGATGTTCAAAGATCATTTTATTTAACTTTAAGTATTAGCTTTTTATTTAAAAAAATGCAATTTATGTGGTAGGTAGGTAGATGATTTGATTTGATTTTTTTCAATAACTTTCTAGAGGTTAAACCATTTACCAGTGGGTTCAATATTAAATCTATCCCAAAGCTCAAACAGTAGCCTCAAAAACCAATATATACATGCATTATGCAGAACAGTATACATGCATTCAATACTTTATGTATTTTTATTATTGATATAGCTCATACATATGTTTCTCAAATTTCCCTGTATTGATATAATCATAGATACTCTAAGAGGGATAATAAGTAATAAGCTAAAAATAGAACAAAAAAAATTAATCAAAGCTCTGAGAATTCACAATCTAACTGCTTTATCTTTTAGATTTAAACTCTTTGCCAAATGGCAGAAAACTAGGGCTTTGAAAAGACCAAGCTTGTCACCAGGTTATTGACAAATCTGGTTTGTATGAAATGGAGCATAGCGAAAGCCATAATCCCCCCCAACAGAAATTTGTTTATTAACTCCAACCAGGACCTTCTCCAGAATCAGAAAGCCAGAATTCAGCAGGATGGTGGTGGTATGTCATATGTCCATCACAATCAGTGTCAGAGTTGTGACCCAATATCATCACTAATCACAAAGTCTTTGTAGGAACACTTTACATGCTTTAAATAAATGCTTTTAGTTCTTCTGCTATACTTGAGTCTCTCTCCTTGGCCTCAAGAACAGAAGTGGAGTGCCCAGTCCTTTTCAGCAGCCTCTTTAGAGGAGAAGGAAGATCTTCTGGCTTGGCACTCTAGCTGGGAACTGCAGCTTGCATAGTTTTATATTCTGTCAGTAGGCGAAGGGTAAACCATTCAGTTCTTTATGGTTAAGAATAATGTTTTCTTTTAGCTGATTAGCAAGATTCTAGCAAGACAGTTAACAATACAACTGACAGAAAGAAAAACAACCTAATGTGCTGCAGTCATCAGGTAAACCCACCTTGTCAGGAAAGGTAGGTGAAAACCTCACTGACAGATTGTCATCAGTGATAATCAAAATAAGAAAGATCATGGTGGTTGTATTTCATCTGTACTCTTCAGTGTGTCCACCACAGTCTCAGAAACAAAAAAAAATACCTTCAGAATCAGTCTTCAACACAAAGGACATGAGCAGAGCAGCAGGAAAAAATAGCTGGCAGATGGTAATTGTTTTAGTTAATAAGTCCTGGAGTTATATTTGAGGTTAATGTAACAACATCCTTGAGACATATGAAGTAATTCATCAGAATATTAGAGACGGTTCTAGTAGAATCCTTCCCACTGGACAATTACCAGCAATTAATAACTGGGAGAGGTTGATCAATAACAACTCAGAGGTCTGCAGCCACTGCATAAATACCTCAGAGGAGGGAAGGTACTTGGTATGCAATTCAGAGACCGGAATCTTCTAGAAAGAAAACTCAGTGGTTGACAACTCATGGGCCTATAAGTTGACCCACTTTTGCAATATCTCCCTGGATAACTTGGTGGCTGGCAGCTGTAGGTAACAGAACATGGTGGTGAGAAGCTACTGCGTCGTATTATGCCGAGATTTAGGTAGTTTCTGTACCCCAAACTACCCACTCTGCTGGGCTTTAAGGGTTGGTTCTTGGGCAGGTAATTAAGTTGCCCAAAGCATTTGGAGCCATAGTTGGGGGTCTGACAGGCTTTAGATGTATATCCGCTGGGTGGGGAGCAATGAGATACATACCCCTTGCCCTGAGTGCGTGGGCTACAGCCGGGACTCGGTCCAATGAGGGTAGTTTCGCAGACGCTGCTCTCTTTTCCTACAATTGGAGAGTTGCAGAGCACATGCAGGTTTGATGGGACAGAGCTCGTGTTGCAGTTCTTGAGCTCACAGCTGGGAGAGTTGCAGCTTGGCACTTCACCATAGGATTCTTGGCAGTTATCCAGAAGCCAAAGGTTTCCTTGGTAGCTACTGGGTAAACACAGCCTCAAAGTAGAACTTACATCACTGGAGCAAATTGCAGCCGAGGAGGTCACTGGGATGTAACAATAGGTTCTATAGGACGTTTCTCTGCAGATCCCAGGGAAGCCGGGGAAAGTCATGGAGCCTGAGTCCATGCTCCACCTCGGAGCAAGGTCTGCGTGGCTGCGACCTGAGGACTTTTTATATCTTCCCGGGTTCTTGCCGGCAGCCTGTCCAAACTCTCTTCCTCCTCACTGCCCTAGACAATAACACAGTAACATCTCATTACTGTGTTGTTTAGCTACAGCTGCTGAAGTCTGCATACTCATCTGAAAATAAGTTTATTTTGATTCTTCAAAGTTTCTATAATCGCCACTTTGACCACCACCCATCACTCATTATCTGTAGACCACAGCTCCGGTGAGTAGTGATTTGAATATTAATAGGCACACTCTCATCTGTCAACCAGTGGTTAATGAGGGCTCTTGTGTCTATAGGCTTCAGCAGCCTGGTGATTACAAGGTTAAGGAGGGTAAAGTAAAACAAGGTCCCTGTACTTTTTCACTGTTTTGACTACTGAGAAATAGTGCACAGCCTGGTTCCATATTCTGAAGTAAGCTGAACACTTTGACTGTCTGAACATTGTTACTTTAAAAAGAGAGGGTAAGGCGTTGAGCTACTAAGAGAAAGAATTGGTTCCCCGAAATATGTGTTAAACTCTTCACTCCAGGCATGTACTGGTGCAACATCTTACCCAATATATGCGGCTGACTCCATCCAGAAGACTCACAGCATCCTAGGGAGATGCAGGGACCTATGGGAAAATAAGTGTGTTCCCTTGGGTCACTGGTTGCTAAGTAACAAAGATTCCTGTGAGGCTCCTTTCTTGAAGAATTTCTGCAATATGTAATATCAAAGAATGCCAATTTCTTAAGATTGCAAAGTCCTAATTGATTAACAATATTATGCATCATGTATTCCTTTGGCTCTGCTGTGAAATATAATTTCTGTCACATCTGTGCATTTTTTCCAAATTAAGTTTTACTTATTCTTAATTTGCTTGTGCTTGCTCATGGATTTAATTTTATTCCTGTGTTAAAGAATGTACTTATTTTTGGTTTATACACACATAACTGTACCTATGTTAAAAACTATTTAAATAACCTAAAGAAGTCTGATGAACTGTGTACATGTTAAACAATTTTCATCTCCTTGTGGTGAAGACTGAAGGAAATTTTTTAAAGATTTTAATTAAAAGAGTAGATATTTTGTTCTTGAAAATACAAACTATGATTCATACTCACAGCTTCTATTGGGTGGGAAATAGCAGTGAATTTATTAATGTGATGAATTTAGACAGGACAGCTTCTTCAGACAGGATAAGCTATAGGGACAGTTTGACAAAAGCACCTGTCCTGACAGAAGACAATTAGATTTTTTTTTTAACTGTTCTGGAAAACTTTTCCTTCTGATTTTGTTGTATCCCATAGGTTTGGGGAAGAGATTTTGTCCTCATATTTGTTTCCAAGTATCACAGATTTTCATTTTCTTTTTATAGGTAACATACATTTTTAAAAAAAGATTTATTTATATATGCACACAGAACTGGGGTACAGACCAGAGGTGCAGGAGTGGTGAGAGAATCCACCAGAGTGGGGACAGAACAGGCAGATTGAAGAGGTACATTGCTGAGGGGAGCAGCGAGCAAGTCAGGAGAGGTCTGCTGCACCATGTGGGTCACCTCCAGGACTGGGGATGGAACTCTCACTGAAGTGGCTGTGGCCAGATTGCAGTGCTGTGTCCTAACCCATTGTACCACCAGGGAGGGCCGCAAATTTTGTTTTATATTTCCTCCGTAACCCAATCATTTTTCAAGAATGGGGTGTTCAATCTCCACATAATAAGAATTTTCCTGCTTTCTTTTTGTGGTTGATTTCTAGTTTGATGTCATTGCCATCAGAATTGCACACATATATTAACTTATTCTTTATGAATTAATATATGAATTTTATACATAATGTAAGTGTATATCTCCTCTATTGATCTTTTTCCATTATGCACCACTATTATTTTCTTATTTAAAGCTTCAGTTTCAGTTTCATTAGTTTTATTTCTCAGGACATTCACTTGCTTTTCTGAGTTTTCCTATATACCTTTGAACATTTTTTCCCCCATTTTAAAATTTTTTGGTCATAGCATTTTTGAACTCTGTTTCTGTTGGGAAGGAGGAAATCTTCCATATCTTTGTGACTTCTACAGATTTTTTTTCTCTCTGTGGTGAAATAGCCCCTTGAGGACTCAAGATGCCATGCATTGCATTTTCCATCTTCCCACTTTCTAGCTTTCTAGGTTGCTTTTTTGTTTCAATGCCCTAAACGTGTAGAACTTCTACTTTTTCAGTAGATGGTGTTGTATGCCAGAAAAAACATCTCTGCAGATTCTGGGTTTGGGGATGAGGGTGGGGCCTGGAGGGATCCAGTCATTGGTGAAAATGGTGTGTGGGGGCAGCTCATCCCTCTGGAGCCACTGACAGTCTTCTGGATTTTCAGATCCATGTCTGTATGGTCTGGTAGTTCGACCTTTACCCCCACTTCACAGAATCAGCTTAAGTACCGAGGGGGTTGGTGAAGGGGAAGCATCATCCTGAATATTGTCTTCTCCATTGAGTCTTCACCTCGTCACCTTTGCACATACCTCCCTACAGTTAGAATTGTGCTTCTACAATATACAGTTCTCCCCTGTCCAGAACTAACTTAGCACAAGAGCATGTGTTTGAAACATCAGCCCAGCCCGGGCCACAGTCTCTACTTGCCTCTCTCTACTCACCATTTATACAATATTGAATTACCTCAGTGTATTTTCTGTTAAGGTCAGTGTTGGTCTCCAGTGTCAAGGAGGTGCTTTAATTTTGCCCCAAGTAATGGGATCTTCTGAACCCACTGTCATCCTGGGTTATTTTAGATGATCTTTTCCGTGGGAGAGAAGCAGGGAACTTCTCTGATGCCATTATTCTGGGGAAGTATTGTCAGGAACAGCTTCTAAAGAAAATTTCCCATTCTTGGACTTCTAAATTCCTTATAGACACCATCCTGTCAACCTCTTCCTGAACAAGGTCTAACAGGAGTTAATCCCCCCTTCTCCACTAGATGATTTGAAAGCTTGTATTTTCTTAAGATTTATTTGTTTATTCATACAAGAACCAGTGTACAGGCTAGAGGTGGGGAGGATTCACCAGTGACAGAGAGGGGAAAAGGACAGGTAGGTAGGCTGAATGAAATACACTGCTGAGGGGAGCATCAGGTGGGACAGGAGAGGTCTGCCATACCTCTCCTATGGGTCACCTCCCTGGTTGAGAATCGATATCATGGAGCAGTGGCTGCAGATAGCTTCATAGTGCTGTGCTTTAACCCATTGCACCACCAGGGAGCACCCTGATTTGATTTTTTAATAAGATTTATTGGTTCTTCTATAAGGTGACAGTGAGTAACCTTTATTAAACATATTTTGCTGTTTTATGAAGTGTCGTCTTCATGAAAGAGTCAACCACAGGACCATATTTTCAACAAATTATCTGACTAGAATATCCTAGGATTTAGCCCAATTTTATCCAATACTAAGGCAGGCAACATAAGAAATAAAATACCTAAGACAGGCGATGATCCCATAGAGAAGTTACAGAGATTGGTGAAACTATTTCTATCATGTGTGGTCACTGCTAGTCTTATTTGAGATTTCTTTATAGTGGGTTTCATGGGGGGGGATGTATAATGAATAAATTAGAGAACTAGAAACAACACACTACCCTTAAACTTAATCATAAGTCTTTTTTAAATTAATATAATTCACTCTTACTATAAATCCAAAAATAATGTATAACATTATAACAGCATAATCAATATCAAGAGACTTTAGAGTATAGTTAAATTTATTTTGGCATAATAATATTGTAAATATGATATGTTGATATTTGCGAAGGTAGGTCTAACTCAACTCTTCTTATTTCTTCTCATTTACTTTTATACTTTGCCTTCTTACCATTTCATCACACTAATATAACCTATGATTCCCCTGCTTACCCCTGACTTTCTGTAAATGAGAGCACAGAGGAAATAGTTTTATTTGCAGTTTAGATAATTCTAGAATTCAAAATCACGGTCATCAAGTCATTGATAACATGATTACCCAGTACCTACATGAAGAAAAATAGATATAATATGAATGCAAATTAGGTGGTTCTTTGAGGTTACTTGATGTATTTGTATATTCCTACCTGTAAAATAAGAAAGAATAATATTTGTCAAGGGTATTTTCATAGGAAATGATTGATTGATCACAATGAAGGAGATCACTATGGTGGTTAGAATTATCAGAATATGAGAAGTTGCTTGTAGGAAGGACAGTTTCCTACTGAATACATGGAAGTGTTGAATTCATCAATCAGCTACATACATACATACATGCAAAATAGAATTAAGTTCCAAGTAATAATGATATTCTCTATGCAAGGGTCTAAGAGGGGGGAGAAATTTAAGATGTTATAAGAATTGAAATGGGATTTTTTTCTTATATTGTTCAAGACTATAAGTTCATTTATTTATGCATAGGGGTACAGGCCAGAGGTGCAGAGGCAGTGAGAGGACTCACCAGAGACAGAGTTGGGAGCAGAACAGGCAGATAGACAAGTACACTGCTGAGGGGAGCATCAGGCAGGTCAGGAGAGGTCTGTTGTGCCATGTGGGTCATCTCCGGGGCTGGGGATCGAACTCATGCTGAAGTGACTTTAGCTTCTCAGTGCAATGCTTTTACCTGCTGCACCACCAGGAAGGGCTCCCAAGACTAAAAGTTTTAGAAACACTTAGTGGTTAATTCCCTAAGGCAGTCAGTATTATAATTTGCACTGTTCATTGATATGTTAGAAGACATGTATAAAGTTGGTGGGTGTTTTTTGCTATTTCTTCCCTTCTTCTGTTGGCAGTATTCCAGGTAGTGAAGACCTTTGACACATGATTCCATAATGGGGGTGACATGGGGGCTGGAACAATAAATGCATAATAAGAGGAATAAATAAATCATGGAAATTTTCAGCTTTTAGAATCTTGGAGAATTTTTGTAACTGTGATGCAACATGATGTATTCTGACTGAAGAATCTCATGATTCATTTTTTAGGTGTTAGAAAATATAGGTGCATGTTTAAGTAGAATGACATGTTCAATCAGGACCTTGACAGTCCCTATTTTGCCAAGGTTTTTTTTTTCAGACACTTTTCTCTCATTAAATATATTTAATTGCATAAAATTTAAGTGTCTTAAATTCACAGATGATGATGAAGTGAAAACAGACTGTTTTCTAAATAATCGGAAGCAAAATTATTCAGAGATTATCATGAAAAGTTTTCTTCCTATTTAAGATGTTAATGCAATAGAAATCAAGAATCCTGATCATAAGAGTGCTTTAGTGAATAAGCCAACAAATACCATCACATCCATTGATTCTAGTGCCTATGGCGATATTGTCCTGCTCAGCCATGAAATAAAATAAAAAGATGAAATTTGAAGCTGCTTCATGTTTGTTACTCTAAACTTTCACATGTGTAATTCATCTGCTTCATTTTTGCCCCCATCCCTCAACAATGCTTGATTTAAAGGAACTGATTTGAAGAGATGTTTATCCTAATTATTATCCATGAGGAACAAAAAATTAAAAAGATGACATCAATAGATAATGTTGCAATTCATAGAGGGACTGGAGATTATTAAATAGTTAATATAAATCAAGCTTATTGAGTTTGCCATCTCGAAAGTCTTCTACTCAGAAGAGAATCTAATAGTGTGATGTTACATTCTGTATGTTGTACTAACGATCAGATTTATGTAAGCATCTTAGACTTTAAAGGGCTCTGCAGTTGACAATATTTTTCACATTTATGAGTTGAGTTGGAATTTCAAAGACTTGTGGAAATATATACTCTATGGTAACATTGACACTTGCTTAATATGCATTTCTGTTGATAACATTCAAATAAGAAGATAAGCATTTGTCAGAAGCTGTCAGCTGTTGCGTTAGCCTTTCAGAAGTAATGGCTGTCTTAACTTAAAATTATTTACTACAATACTTCAGTCTCCATGAAATTAAACTGAGCAAGAATTAATCAAAATTTTAATAACAGATGAAGAAAGATGTCTGAAAGACGTTGCTTGGACAACAATGTAAGAAATAATCTCTGGAACTTAATTTGGATTTCTTCCAAAGATGAAGGTTAATCTTTATAGACATCTGGGGTTTTTTGGAATAAATATTCTTCCAAAAACAAAAACATTTCTTTTCAAGCTGTATCCCAGGTGGTCAAAGATGATGGAGTTGAAAATGAATGGTGGACAGGAAAGATTCCAAGCAGCCACTTGGCATCTGACAACACTGATCGCCCATGGAGGGTGCTTGTCTATGGAACAATAGTCCCAGTCCCTTTAGGGACTGTGGCCACAGAGACACCAGATGACCTCCATTGAAATGAAGTCTCTCCTTGAATATACTGTAGAGTGAATACTCTTTTTCTTCCCTGTTCTCTGTCTTTACATTGCCATTGAAGAATCAGGAAGACTGATGCATTTTTCCTAAGAAAGATTTTGAAAAATGATTTTAGGTAAGCATGTAATTATGCAGAACACTTGTGCTATTTCAAATATTTTATGTATTTTTATTTTAAAACATCACAAAAAGCATGACATTTGGAACAAATGGAGGGAAGTTCTTATCTCTGAATTTCACCTTTATTTTTGTTTTGTTTCAGGTAAAGGAAGAAAGAATATTTGACATCTCATGTAGGGAATTTTCAAAGTCAATGTACCCCATTCTTCCTCACAGAAAACCTCAGATAACTTCACATCAGTGTGAAGCCTGTTACTGATAGAAAATAGCAGAAGAGATTGGAGTCACTGAGAGCTGAGAGTGTGAGACATCAATTTGACCATTTGCCCATCTTCCCTAAGAACTTTAAACCCTCCAGATAAATGAAATTTTTCAAACTTTTGCATGCTTCCAAAGAAGATTCCTCTTGATAACTCCCAACAAAAATCCTTCATGATTTAGTCCAAGAATTCACTTCTTTTGTTCTTCATAAAGTGTGAAAATCAGTGATAACCAACTAGTCTGAAAATTCTTCCCCAATGTTCAGGCAGGTTATATAGTTTTGAAAAGAAAACTAAATTTTTCTTTTTAGATCATAATGAAAATATACGTGTTCTCCAAAGAACTACTGATAAGGTATATCTGAAAAACAGGACACCATTGAGGTTAGAGTTACCAAACCAACTCCAATCTGCTCACTAATTTTTCACTAATTAAAATTTAAGTTGGGTGCAGGACATTTGAGGACTGGTCTTATCAATGAATTTATCACTCCAATGTAAATTTAGAAGAAGCACAATGTGCAAATCTAGCTGACAAGTGTCTTAATTAGTGATTTGTGATTCTGTTTGTAGTTTCTCCCAGAGTCTACAGAGACCAGTGTTTCTGTGTTTTATTATATTGTCTGATTCAATATTCTGAATAATTAAAAAGCAACAGAAAATAAAAAAAGAAAAAACCTACTGAGAAGTCATATCCTTCATTAGGGAATGATTGGTTAATTTTACATGATGAGATTAATTTTCACAGATTCATAAAAATATCACACCGGAGAATTTATGATGTTTTTGTTCTCAGATAGTAGCTAATTTAACAATTTCAATTAATGGATTATATGTATATAGAATCTAACCTGTCTTATATGCTATTCCTATTTGCATGAG